ATGTGAAACATGTTGGAACAGGTTGTTGTCTGTCAGCGTTTCCACACCAGTTACTGAGATGTGTCTCTGCCCTGGTTGTGAAATAGTTGTCTCTCATGACTGGAGGAGAAGTCCAGGATCTCACAGCATCTTAGACAGATGGGCACATTTATTATCGTCCCAGTACTCAGTCGGTAACACTGCCAGTTGCTCCAGTTTGTCTTTGTCTGGACTGTAAGCTCAGTGCGTAAATAGCCAGCGTGGACCTGGTTTCAGAAAATAAGATCTGTGAAGTAGAAAAATCCACCAGTTTGCTTCAGGTTCATCTCCTCTCTCTGCTGCATATTCAGGAAAAAAAGAGTTTGGAATGAACCTCTAAGTTGAACCTTTTGAGTGTTTAATCCTTTATTTAATTTGGGAAATCCTTCTGACAAGACGTATCGTTATCTTTCTAGCACTGGCGATAAGGCAGAGCTCAGAGACTTCGCCCAGATGGCAGCAGGATTTACTAATGGTTTAATAATTGGTGCAGGTTCTAGAGGAACGCTGCAGTAGTTTGAGAAAGGTCATAATATTTTGAAAACAATTTGTACATTTTGAGAGAAATGGTATAACTACTAGAAAAAAAACTTGTAATATTTTTTTTAAATGATTTATGATTTCTACAAAAACATCTTGCCCTGAGAAGCAAAGTCCTCTGGTCTGATGAAACAGAGACTGAACTATTTGGCCACAGCTCCAACAGTGTGTGGAGAAAACCAGACCCTGAGCATCACCTCACTAATACCATCCTACAGTCGCACACAGTGGAGGCAGCATCAGGCTGTGGCCACTGGGAGACTCGTCAGGACAGAGGGGAGGATGGATGCAGGAAGATGTAGAACAATCCTGAATGAAAACCTTCTCCAGAGCGCTCAGGACCTCAGGCTGGGGTAAGACAATGACCCAAAGCATACGGCCAAGAAAACACAGGAGTGGCTTCAGGAAAACCCTAAGAAAGTCCTGGAGCAGCCCAGACAGAGTCCGGACCTGAACCCAACAGAGCATCTCTGGAGAGACCTGAACATGGCTGTGCACCACCGCTCCCTATCCAACCTGGCTGACCTGGAACGATTCTGCCAAAAAGAATGGAAGAAAATTCCAGAAGGAAGGCGCCAATCTTGTACTTCATTCTTGTCGTTGGTGCCAAAGGTCTTTTATCCATCCATCCTTTTTCCTCCACTTATCCGGGACCGGGTTGCAGGGGCAGCAGTCTAAGCAAAGATGCCCAGACTTCCCTCTCTCCAGACACTTCCTCCAGCTCCTCCGGCTGAATGCTGAGGCGTTCCCAGGCAAGCCGAGAGACATAGTCCCTCCAACATGTCCTGGGGCGTTGCCGGTGCCTCCCC